TTTCGTCCCCGGCAATTTTATCTACTTCCCTTAGCCAAGAGGATAACTATATGTTTTTTCTTGGGTTCACCTTCTTCTTTAGCTTCGTTATACTTGTACTTTTTTAAAAAATAATGTTGGCTTTCTTTCTTCCATTGTATACTTTTAGCTCCTTTATCAAAAATGAGGTGTTCATAAGTTTGTGGATTAAATTCCGGGTCTTCTATGCGATTCCATTGGTCGACTTCTCTGTTTTTATGCCAGTACCACAGTGTTTTCATTACTGTAGCTCTGTAATAGAGTTTGAAGTCAGGGATGGTAATGCCTCCAGATGAGAAGCCAAGGACAATGACACGGGGTTTTGATCCTACTTCATGTTCCGGCTTGGTGGGAGCCTAGCCAGTTTGGATGTTCACCTTCCTAGACATGGACGGATGGGGGAGAACCATGGACTTTCCACAGGGCAGGGAACCCTGACTGCTTTTGGATTGGAGAAGGAGGGGGAGAGGAGTGGGGGGAGGGGGAGAGGAGTTGGAGGAGAGGTAGAAGGATGGGAGGAGGGGGAGGGAAATGGGAGGCTGGGAGGAGGCGGAAACTTTTTTTTCTCCTTTTCTCAATAAAAAAAATAATGTTGGCATAGTTAAAGATGATGGAGACTCTTAAAGTTGGACTGAACAAATTTGCAGTATGAAATGACCATGAGCCAAGGCAAGGTATGGAAAATTCAGACTTGAAAGCAACACGTTTAGACAATCAAGTTGATAATGGGTGGACTTATTTATTTTGTTTTCTGGTTTTTGTTTTGTTTTGCTTGTTTTTTTGAAATAGGACTTCTCTGTGTAACCCTGGCTGTCCTAGGACTCGCTCTGTAGAACAGGCTTGCCTCAGACTCAGATCTGCTTGCTTCTGCCTCCTGAGTGCTGGGATTAAAGGTGTGTACCACTGCTGCCTGGCAAGGGTGGACTTAGATGGTTAATACTGATTGCCAATTTGACAAAATCTAGAATCACCTGGGAGACAACACTCTGGGCATGTCTGTGAGGAAATATCTAGATTATATTGAGGTTAAAAAAAAAAAAAGACCTACCCTAAGTGTAAGAAAACATTATTTCGTGGGCTAGGCTCCCAAAGTGGATAAAGAGCAGAAAGCAAATGGAACACTAGTATCCACCTCTCTCTCTGATTCCTGACCACTGGTGCAGTGTGACCTGCGGGCTTCCACTCTGCCGCCGTGTCTTCTCCACCACAGTGGGCTGTCTCAGGAGACTGTAAGCCCCTCTTTCCTTCCTTCAGAGGCGGCTGCCAGTTCTTTTCTCACAGCAAGGAGGATAGAAACTAACAACACAGCACGCACGGCATTTCCTGCAAATGAGTTCTAATTTTATAGAATAGCTGCATGAACATCTGTGATTCTAGCCTCAAGTCTGTACAAAGGGCAGCCCACTGGGGACGTGTCTGGGTGACTGCACTAAACGACATAATCACAAAGAATTGCATCTTTCCACTCGACTGGTAGCAAACCTGCCATGTTCCAAGCAAAAGAACGGCTCAGCTGATGTGTGCTTCCCAAATGCAACCGTCAGCACCAAGAGTTGGCATCACCCGCACACAGCCTCGCTCCGAGATCACATCTTCACGGACCAGATGGCAGCGGAGGAAAGCCACATTTTATTGGGTAAAGATGGAGTAGGATTTGTTTTACAAATTCGTAGCAGTTTCCCATCTCAAAAAGAAGCAATGTTTTCTATTTCTATCTGTCAGGAGATAGAGCCTGTGATTGTCAGAACTGTCCATGCAAAACCCTGAGCCTCCATCTTCCCCTCTTAGATCCCTGGACTACAGGCCCCACACCTTCCCTTTACCCAGTCAGCACCAGTTGCATTCTTCACTATTGCCATTTTGTCTTGTGTGTGTGTGTGATAATTGTGCACACATATTGATGTGTATGTATACATGGACGTGAAGTCATGCATGTGACCAGAGTACACCTGGTGTCTTTTCCACTCTCCGTCTTATCTTAATTCTATTTTTAGATGGGCCAGGATTTCAGGACATTTGCTGAACAGAACAAAGACTTCCTGTGTGCCCGTCTCCCTGACTTTCCGAATGGAAACCCTTTTGACATCTGTTTCTACCATTGCCGTGATCTATATCTAATCTAGCATTTAAAAAAGAGCTGGAATTGAGTAATCCCCAGACTCCCTGGTCTGCCTAACCTGAGATGTGCTCCGGCCCAGTTTAACCCTCCAGATGTGAAGGTTGTGGAATTGGCTACAGCAGGAACAGGCGGAGGTGGGTTGTGGAGGAAGAGTGGGGTGGTAGACAAGAGAGGATAATAAATAAAGAACTTTGCCTATCTCACCGTTTCCTCGGGTAGCCTGAAGTAGTACAGTTCTGACCGGTCAAGTGGATGACAGCTTACTCCGAGATATGAGCGCTATAACCTACAAGGAATCAAATCTTACTCCCTGTCTTCCAAATGGGAAATAGTTAGTGTCTGGCATTGTTTGTTAACCCATGCTTGCTTGGAGAAAGACACAGATGACAGATGACAGGAGTGAGGGTGACTTTAAGTGCTCTGACTAGAACAGGAGATGTGGCTGGTTTCTGTGTAAACTGTGTCAGAAAACCCCAAACAGTGTAATCAGTTCTAATCTTTGTGTTTCCATCCACCATGACAAGGCCATGGTCACAGTGTTATTTCATTTCCAGTGGAGGGAAATGAAGGGAAAGAAATAGGCGCAAGAAGCAATGGGGACACAATAGGACAAGAGGGATTCCTGAGGGTCTCCTGCCCCGTGTGGGGCTATGCTTGCCCCTGTGTGATGACCACTGTCTGCTTCTTCTGCTTCTGAAATGGAGAGAAAGTTTATGGACAGATGACAGAGAGGGTAATAGGAGGCCAGGAGGATGACTCAATACAAGCATGGGATCTGAATTCAGATTCCCAGCACCCACATAAAAATACAGGTATGCTGACCTGCTCCTGTAATCCCAACACTAGGGAGGTGGAGAGAGGAGGATCTCTGGAGCTCACTGTCCAGGCGACCTGGTTGAATTGATGAGCCTGTCTCAACAAACAAGGCAGATAGCAACAGAAGAAGACACCTGACATTGACCTCTGGCACATACAGAGGCATGAGTGCATACGCCCACACACGTGCAAGCACACACACACACACACACAGACACACAGACACACACACATAGTGGAAGGCTTATGGGACATAACTCCATGTAGCCTTCATAAAACATAAAGTCCTAGGATGAAAAAGCAGTGTCCACAGGACCAGAGAATCGGAACAGTGACTACAGGGGCTGATGCAGCAATGGCAGGAAGTGGAACTGGCTCCTCACCCCACCCTACTCCCACCCATCCTCCTGCCTTTCTCCTCTGCATTGTTCCTGGTGGGTCCCTTGGACCCACCCTTCCCCAGAGATTAGCTCTGCTTAAGGGATACTTTCCTGTGGCACATTTGAAGAGCACTGTGAGGAAGGATGACACAGATGGTGGGCTTCTTATCATGGGGCCGGGGAAGGGGAGCACGAATCCAGGAACCTAGGTCAGCTGAGCACATGGGCAGGACGGACAGAGCGGTGTGGCGGTCCCTTGCTTATGTTTTGCTTTGAAAGTCACAGAAAAGATTCTGGAGGCGTAATGTTTTAACTGGGCTAGCTTCCCAATGCATCACACACACACACACACACACACACACACACACACACACACACACAGAGCTGTTTTCATAAACAAACAGAGAATTGAATATACACAAATGACTCTATTCATACGCCTTCCTGACAGGCTGTGCCATTTCTCTTTCGTTGTCAATCATCAATGTTTGCACAAACTTTAGCTTGAACTGACTTGCCCTACTTCCTTCCGTTCCCTAAGCCAATAATGCTCCCTAATTCCTTGACTTACACAAGCAAGATCTAAGATTCAAGGGTTTAAAGCAGTGCCCAGTAGTTCCAAACTATGTGTTTGAATTCTTTAGTGATCTCCTATTTACAGGCAGACAGAGAACAATTGGACTCTCTGGACTCAACTGAACCCTGCTCACCTGAAACCCATGCGACTTCACCTGTTTCCTTAAGTTGTACCTCCGGGCTAGTAACAACAATAGACTACTCAGAGTGGCATTAAGAATCGGGTATAATCCTCACAAACAACAAGGGACGCCTTATGCCATCTACCTTTGCTCTTTCTTTACCTGTGTCAAAGATGCCATTGCCATACTCTACAGCACCCCGAAAAGCAACCCAAGTCTGATCCTAAGAATTTGTTAGCTCATATATTGTGAGAATCGCCTTAAGACTCATTGGCTTTCAGGGGTGGCCTGAAAGGGAAGTTTAATATTTCATGAGTTGTTTGAATGTAATGAAAGTTACCTTAGTTTTCATTGTGAAACGCAACCCACGTTGTTGGTCTGTCTCGACCCATTAGAGAGATTTCCATGTCTTGCCTGGCTGGTCACGGCACTGCCAGCACTCAGAATAGAGCCTGGCACTCAGCCAGCAAACGCTTCCTAATGAAGACCTGTGTCACCAGATCCTTTCCCTTCAGCCACCTGCCTCCTCTGAGGAGGTGGGGAAACAGAAGCTACATATGCAGATCTGAATATCTTTGCTTTTAAAGTCACTAAAAATAGCAACATAAACATGCCCCTAGTCCACGTGATGTAGGAGAAACTTGAAGGAATAGAATTGATGTTATAGATGATTTACTGATAGATTTGCTTAGGAGGCATTCAGTCATACAAAGTAACAGTTAGCTGAAGGAGTGCTGCCTCCACGAAACCCTATGGTAGTTAATGTGCTACCCAGGCTTGTTAGAGACAAGCACAGTTTAGGATGCTAAGATGTAAATGTTTGTTCATCAGGACTGACCAAACATTAGATTTCATTCCCGTAATGAAGGAGGCAACCCCAATTTACAACCAGCTGTTAAGCCCCCTTTTCTCTCAGAGAACACGCCTCTAAGGCTGTCATTCTCAACCTTCTCAATGTTGCAATCCTGTAATACAGTTCCAGGTACTTTTATATATGGGCATATCTGTGTGTGGACGGACTCTCCAGGAGATGGATAGAAGAACGGTGTCTCAGTTCCTAAGACCATCAGAAATATGCTCTTGGGTGATCCCTTTGTGGGCCGTGATCCACAGGTTGATCCACAGGTTGCTGTAAGGGGCTTAAAGGGGGCAGGGTAGGGTAACAGTCATTGTTCATTTCTGTTCTGCTATAAAATCTCCTGGTCCTCTTCTTGAGAAAAGCAAGTGGGCAAGATGACCCTGGGTAACAACTATCCAAAAAGAACATCACTGGTGTGCTTATAATAATTCTGGCAAGCTGCAGTATCTACACTGTATAAATCTCCCATCTGCCTGTGTGGCCAGACTGACAGTCTCCAGTCTCTGTTTAAATTACTCAAAGTGTAGCTTGGACCAGGATCTGAAAGAGATTTAAGGTTGACAGCATCTGTGGAAGGCGTAAGCCTGAGATGTATATAGTTTGGTCAAATCTTTTGTCCTCGACAGCTCCTCTTCGGGCATTAGCCAGAGCTGGACTTGGTGCTGTTATTATAGATGCTTTTCCACTATTTGACTTGAGTGTATGGAGTGAATTCTCACTGTGGGAGGAATATTTATGTTTATGCATCATAGGTGCATGTGATATTTCAGTAAATATATACACTGGATGGTATTTAAATCAGAGCAAATAGATTTGTCTCCTGAAACATTTGCCATTACCTTGTGGTGAAAAATGCCTAGAATATTTTTTCTTCCTTTTAAAAACACACTGTGCCCAGAACTAGTGAGATGACTCAGTGGGCAAAGGCAATTTTGCCAGGTTCGATGATCTGAATTTGAACCCCAGAACCCACATGGTCGAAGGAGGGAACTGACACCTTCAAACTATCCTGGACTTTCATATTTGTGCTAGGATATGCATGTGTTTTAATAAATACACCCAGGACCTAATAGCTGTGTGAAGTCAGGTCTCCTTTGTCACTATACGGGGAAGTTGTCATCTTGACCGGATGCAAAGATTCAGAGAGCCCAGGGAACTGGAGTACTTCCCTTTGTTCGTGGGAAGGTGGGAGTATGTGGAGCTGGTCTCCCCTCTGAAACGCAGCTAGAGCCATGCCAGCTGGAGGAGATGGGGAGGCATCACTGGGCACCCATGTGGTAGACAGACGCAGAAGGAAGGAGAAACGGGTGTGGGTCCGAAGGAAAGCCCAATGACTGGCCAGAACTGGGGAAAGGCTTCAGTGCTTGTCTATTGCTATGGCAAAACAGCATGACCAGGGCAACTTAGAAGAGAAAACGTTTTATTGGCTCGTGGTTTTAGCGGGTTAGAATCCACAACGGTGACGGGAACAGCCGAGGGAACACATCTTGATCCACAAACAAGAGGCAAAGAGAGAGGTATATTGGGAATGGTATGAGCCTTGAAATCTCAAAGGCTTCCTCAGCCCAGCGACAAACCTTCTCCAACAAGGCCAAGCCTTCTAATCTTTCCAAAAAGTTCCTCCAACTGGGGGCCAAATACTCAAACATATGAGCCTATGGGGTCGTTCTCATTCTAACCGCCACACTCAGAAAGGAGTGGTGTTGGTTCCAAGGCGTGAGGTCCAGAGAGACACCCAAGCTCAGGAAGATCACAGACCCCTTGAAAGAGTTACGTGGAGAAAATCCACCCTCCAGTGCAGGAATCAGAGTAGCCAAGTTTTGAACCTCCTCAGTTCTTCTCTGGAGTCTCCATGATACTCCAGGGACATCATGGAGTGGCAATATGGAAAGGGGCCTAGCCAGGACTAAAGGGGCTTGGATCTTCACTAAGGGGCCATTGAACTCTCAGAGCCCAAGTCTGTTTATTTATAAAATAGACTAGTAACTACACCTGGATGAAGTGGATAAAATAGTGTTACTAAAGCTATTTTCTTTTCATTTCTTTTTACTATGTTGACCACACTGACCTTGAACCCCAGATGCTCCCGCCTCCATCTCCTCAGTGCTGGGATTACAGATGTGCGCAGCTGTGCTAAAAAAAAAGGGGGGGGGCATTTTTAGAGAGACTCAAGGACCAGAACAACCATTTCAAAGAAAGAGTTTTAATTATTAATTTCCCTAATGATAGGAGAGCCTGCTACGCATGGATATTATGTGTAAAACATTATTTATTTATTTTTTGTTATTTAAGACAGAGTCACGTGTGTTTCAGGCTGACCTCAGATCCTGTTGCCGCCACCTGGGATAGGTTACCGATGTTTTAAATGTATTTCGTGCGTT